AAGCTGTGGTCCATGAGGGAACTGGGCTTGTTTTGCTTGGAGAAGAGAAGGCTCCGGGGAGACCTCACTGTGGCCTTCCATTACTTGAAGGGAACATATAAACAGGAGAGGGAACGACAGTTTACATGGGTTAACAGGACAAGGGGAAATGGTTTTAAACTAAGACGGGAGGTTTAGGTTAGATATGAGGAGGAAGTTTTTCACACAGAAGGTGGTGATGCACTGGAACAGGTTGCCCAAGGAGCTTGTAGATGCCCCATCCCTGCAGGCATTCAAGGCCAGGCTGGATGTGGCTCTGGGCAGCCTGGTCTGGTGGTTGGCGACCCTGCACAAAGCAGGGGGTTGAAACTACATGATCACTGCGGTTCTTTTCAACTCAGGCCATTCTGTGATTCCATGATCTGTAAGACTGCAATGGGAGTCAGAGCTACTTTGTACAACGACAAACTTCTTCATCTTTACACCTTAAATCACACAGCAAGTGACGGAGTTCTCTCTGAAGCTAGGGATTCTGCAAACTGAAATGAAAAGTAGTTTCTTTATTTCAAGAAACTGAGAAAAAAATTGATGGACAGTACAAGCCAGAAGAATTAAGTGATTTATGGAGCAGTTGGAGCAGTGGAACTGACATGGTTACTACCTGATTGAAAGGCTTCCTACATTTTCAAGTTCTGTTATTCTTTCTGAATTTGCATCTACTTCAGATATTAAGAATCTCTCCTTTCTAAAACAGCAGAGGAAATATCTAAGCTTGTAAAGCTTATCTGAGAATTCACAGCACTTATATCTCAGAAAACAGTCCAATCTCCATCCTAAAGCCAGTAGTTACCTTTAAATCCTAATTGTCTTTCCAAACATTAGTATCATACTCCAAATAAGTGTTGCAGAAAAGCAAAAAACATAACAGTGTTCCCTTCTCTTTGATGCTTAATGTACAAATGCTATGTACGCCCCCGAGGCTGGGATGAGGATTTACTGTTTGCACACTAATATGTTGAGGAAATCATTTGTGCAGTGTCAATTTGGAATTTTACATCTTTCAGAAGAGCACAGAGCAGGAAAAAAAAACAAAAAACCATACATTAAGACTCCCAGAGATTATCTCTGAATAAGGTTTAAGCTGTATTTGTGAATAAATAATATCAGTGAGTGGATAAACGAAGATTCTTGCATGGTATGGGTTGTTGAATTATTTGCTGTGCTTCTCATTTACATCTATGTAACCCAGGAATAAGTAAAAGTTCAGAAATCAATGACGTTATAGAATCTAAAACTGCAAAAGAAATCAGAAGCCAAGCCACTGACCTTGAAGAAGCAGCAGTATCAAAGATGACTTAGGCAACGAAGAGTTGCAAAGGAAATTGAAAGGGAAATGCTTCCCTGGCTTAAGTCTTAGGTACTACTGGCAAATCAATGTGTTGTAAAGTGAATTGTTCTTGCTCACCTCCCTCTACAGCATCTGAACCTTCTTAATCTTGCAAGAGCTATTTTCAGTGCTGCATCTCAGACTCATTTTTACTAGCTACTTTTCATGCAAAGTAAAAATAGGAGAAAAGAACATTTTTTGCTGGTGTTTCTGAGTGTAATAGGATCAGTTAGCTCTATTTTTCCCCACTTGTACCATTTCAGATGTCTCACAATACAAACATACAAATTCCAGCTCCAATAAACTTCTGGGTTTTCTGCTCTTTTAAATATAGTTTGTTCTCATTACATAACATTTATTAATGAAAGAATGCTTCTTACACAGAATGGAAGAATTCAAAGGAACAGGCAACACTAAAAGACAGGGTTTTTTTTTTTGTTTTTACAGAAAGGGCTTTTCTTACACATAGGCAGAAGTATGCCACCATTGGAAGAACATGTTGATGAAAATAAAAACAGAGAACACTTTGATTTTCTGTTACATTCCAAATCTAGACTCAACACTTCCACAGAGGTTGCACAATGGCTGAAAGACTGAGTGCAACTAAAATTAACAGAAAATAGAAGTCCTGGAACAGAAAGACATCCCTTTCCTCCAGCCAGACTGCCTACAGTACACAAGGAGTGGTTGAACAGCACCAGGGGGACTCAGTACTACCAGAACTCTGTTTGGTGGCACCCACTGCCATCACATGTTTTGGAAAGCTCTGTTGTGCAACACTGGCAGGAGAGAGAGAGCAGAAGAACAACTGAATTCAGGTATTTTCTGGTTTGCTTACTTTAGTGATGTTTCCTGCTTCATGTTGTCAGAAGCACAGGTCTAAATACTCCTCACAAACAAAAAGTTAAGGTTCACTTTGAAAGTTCATCTGAAGAATATGAAAGAAGCTTCTGAGATATAAAAGAACAAAGACAATTGCATTGTTGCAGGTAATTCACACTCACCCATTTCATTTCTTTTCCCTTTGCCCTAACTGAGCCTGTTTACTGACATTCATTCATCAGGACATACTAAGTGAAATCAGGGTGCCCTGAGTTTACAGACCTGGAAGACTGTTCCTGCTCGTAGTATTGATATCATCAGGAACTGGAACATAATACTGTTTGGAAAGACCAAAGGGTTGGACAAGAACTACAGCTATCAACTGTGAAGCGCTGTCCTGCACAGCGGGCATGCCTGTCTCTGAAAGAAGAATCTGTGAATCATTTTCCTCTTTCATGTTCCTCTTGTTCTTCTTTTCCAACGTTTCTGCAAACACACACACATTCTTAGACCCTGAATGAGGACAGAGAAGGGCTTTTCAATTTCTCTTATAGCTTTTGTGGTTTACTTCAAATTCAAGTGTCACTTCCCTGTGTTTCAAACAATTTTATGCCACACAGACTTGTAACATCTCACTTATATTCTCCTTAGGCAGTATGTCAATAAGTGCATCGTACTATAAATACTCAAAATAACAGCAACTTATCATTGACTTTAACAAAAAGAACTTTGTAAAATGCCCTTTCTTGCTTGAAAAAAGGGCATTTCTTTCTTCTAGGAAAGAAAACTGTACAGAATAAGGTAATCCCAATACATGTCTTCTCCTAAACAAGCATATATCAGTGTATTATCATTCACTTCAGTGAAGCTCAGATTGATACAGACTGATCTGAAAGGAGAATTTTTTTTTTTTTTTATTTTTGCTGATTTTACTGCTAGTAAAAATGAGTGTGGTGTGCAGTGGTTATTTTTTGTTATTTTTTAAGAAAAAAAATTGAGGCAAAAATGATGCCTCAATAACTTTTCTTTTGTACCTAAGGTTTTCCTGTGTTAAATAATTCTTAGAATAATTTCACGTGCACAAAAGATACTGCAAGATTGTTGATTAAATGTCATGGCAAGTAATTAAATTTTCAGCTGTTCTGAAATTAAAGAATCCCTGGACAGTATTGAAGTAATACAAATGATTCTCATCAGATACAAAATTGCAGAAGCAAATGAAGTGCACCTATAAATCAGTGCACTGATTTACAGTGATCAAGGATTGTGATGAAACAATGGAATTAGGTCTTCTATCTAACATGTGCAACAGGTACAAGGCACAGGAATTCCACAAGAATACTGGAATTATATTTAAGGGACAGAAGAGACATCCCATTTAATGCATTACGACTGAGACCTGACAGCATATTTTCATGACCATTTCAGATGCATAATTTAGTCCAGAAATGTCACTCATGCACAGTCGTATCCTCTTCCCTTCTCACAATAATAATAATAATAATCCTGGCATCTTTACCTCACAGGTAGTCCCATATACATCTATACATGCCTAGATAAAGACATACAGATGCATGCTCAAAGAGGAAAGTGATACATTGCATTGCCTTCCTTTATAAAAATACTCATCTCCCTTCTGTAATGACTTACAACTACCTGATAAAAAGTAGTTTGGGAAAAACAACCAGAAATGTCATTTTATGTGTGCACAAAGGTAAATATGTATCAATCATCACCTAAAAATGCAAAAGTTGTCAATATTCAATAACATTCTTATCTTGCACAATACAGACTCAGCCTGCAAAGAAGCTTATAAATTGGTGCCAGACATTAAATTGCTTTATGTTTTCAACAAGATTATAAGAAATCATCAATTATCATGTATCATGATAATTGTGTAAACTGATTTAACCATGATAGCTGATATTTTCTAAGTATATCAGCTGAGGACATGTAGGCACAGGAAATTTCAGGTCTCCATTTATTTGGGTGGTTGTTTTCTTCTGACAAACCTGTTAACAGCAGAAAACAGTGCCTTGTACAGAGAAATGATAGCAACTGTTGAGAGCAATCTCTGGTATTCCACAGTATTCACAGTATAAATGAACAAGAGGATGCTCAGCACAACCCTCTCATGACTGGTTTTATTGTATTTATAGAAAGATAATCTGCTGTGTGACTGTGACACATCACACCAGAAATAGCAGCTGCGCTAGCAGTTGGCAAAGCTGAAAAGAGGAAGAAATAGTGAAATTTATAATGATGACTTTTCCTCACGTGTGCCATGCACAAAATGGGGCTATTCTTCATTGCTATTTAACAGGAACTGCGGAAGCTGATAGATTGTTACAATGCAACAAGCAGTAAGCACCAGCCAAGGAAACTGTTATCTTCCAAAATTAAAGAGGATGCTGCAGTTGTTCATTTCCTACAATCAAGTGTTTACATAAATCACATCTACTAATTGGGAGCAAGGAATATACTTGTGGACCACAATAGAAAATGACACCAAGGTCAATAAAAGCCAGAGTATGGTGTTTAAATGAAACAACCTGTGACCTTTTCCAAGATCTTAACAAGGAATCAAGTAATATTTTAGATAGCCAAATATAAGCAAGCAAATGTATTTATTGTAAGAATTAATAGAGATAATGCTGGAGAAACTTTTCCTATTATTTTGTCTAAGAAAAGGAAGATATAAGAAATATAAGAATATGAGAGTTAACTAAAGATAAATTCCAGTCAGATGTTTGGTTTTTTTTTAATAGAGTGAAACATATTATGAAACAGAATTCTTATTTCTTTCTGTCAGGTGGTAAAAATGATGATTGTGGTTGTGATGACATTTGCCATCTGTTGGCTGCCCTACCACACTTACTTCATAGTTACTGGGATCTATCAACAATTGAATCGGTGGAAATACATTCAGCAAATCTATTTGGCCAGTTTTTGGCTTGCCATGAGTTCTACCATGTACAACCCCATTATTTACTGCTGCCTTAATAAGAGGTAAGAACCAGTTACAAAAGAGTTGGTATGTATGCATTTTATGAGAAAATAAATGGCTTAAATGTGGTAAAAGAAATAATTTTCACTTCAACAGTTTTCAGTTCCTGGGGGGGAAAAAAAATCTTCCTTTGGATTCCTATCAGATACAAACCTAAAGAACCAAGTGCACATTTCCAGTAAACAGGTTGCTCTAAATGAAGTTTTAGAGCAATCTTCAGTATTTAGAGACGAATGTTTTCTGTTTTCAACTGCTATATTTGACATCTGTAGCAGTGTTCTATTTTTTGGCTTGCAAATACATTGCAATGTAAAGAAATAATGCAAGCTACTTGTGAAGTACAGTACAATCTGTTTACTTCCACACTGTAAACAAATTTATTTGCAATGACGGAAGGATATAACAAAATGCTACTTACTACATATTTTATACCTAAACATTTGATTTCTACTGAACTCCGAGGTCTGTAGCAGGCTAACAAAACAGATATTTATATTTTTGTTACTCTGTACTATATTACAGTACTGCTTGATGACGATGCAAGAAATGCCAGGTACCATTATGTTTTCAATTTCAAAAGGCACAGACCTTGTTGAATGTTATGGGTATTTGGCAATTCAAGACTACTGGTCTGCAGAACCAGTTCCTGTTCTTCATTTCATCCTGAAGGACCAGGATCCAACCAAGCAACATCCTAGCTGTCCTACTGTTCATTGTTTCTTCTAGTGTTACTGAATAGAGACCATTAAGAACAATCAAATAGTCAACAAAGTCAGCATGAATCAGTATTAAATAAGTAATCTTAAAGATTATTTCAAATTTCCTTTGAATAAGTAACCATTTTTCATAATCAGGAGTAGCCTACAATGCTTAAGATTCCGTCCTTTGAAATATCAATGCCTGATTTCTTAAAGCTTTCTGATCCTTTTTAATCACGTATGCTTACAATTGTTCAAACAAGAACTAACGATTTAGCATCCCAGACCAAAATTCTAATTCAAATAGAAAATTTCCCATTTCTTTAAGTGGAGACCAGACATCACAAGACATCTAGTGTCCATAAAAACAAAGCCAAAGAACCAGGTCTCAAATTTTCTTATTTACTACCACATCATCTCTAAAACACTACCGTTTACTTCAAAAACACTGGTGGCAGCTACAGAAGACATTATTAATAAAAAATAATATTGATTATGTGGTTTAAGTATATGTTGACACTTGTACACTGCAAAATTGCTCACCTAGACTAAAGAATGCAAACCCACCAAAATTCTTTGCAATTCTGAGACACAATAAAGATCTCCTGGTTCAATATTCAATGCAAGAATGCCATATTGGTGACAGTTTAATTACGACTAAATTTTGTATTGAAATTAAGAAGTCTGAATGTTCGCTGCTTTTCATACAGTAGGAAAAGGAAAGCCTGTTGCTGGGAGTCAGGTCTATTCACACAGCAGTGTTTGTTACCTCTGCTGGATCTGGTATCAGACATGGTTATAATAGCTATCCCCAGCCTCATCTTCCAGGCTAGGACATTACTAATGTACCTAAAGATAGCAGTATTTCAAGAGGGAGAAAACCAAACCCTGAATATGAAAGAGGATAGAAAGTGCAATGAAAAAATACAATCTAAAGATATTTGGGTTTTACAGCTTACTACACTAAACCTATTTCCATTAGGGGTTCATTCTTTACTTTGCTACTACTTCTACATTTGGACTGCATATAATCAGTGGAATGATGAATAGCGTGCTACATGGTCATTTGTAATCATGTGACAACTCCATACCAAAGTATGGAAAAACAATTTTTGATTTATATATTTATCTGCATCTGAAAAACTGAGGAGGAAGGGTAATTAGTTCTGGGAGATCAGTTTTCACTGAAAAATTCCTAGATGTTTTTATCTGTAGTTATCACTGTGGTAGCAGAACCATTGCTACAAAAAGCTTACAGACAATAAGCAGCACAGAAACATTGTTGAAATAAAACCAGCAGAAGTGAAAGAAGTCCATTATGTTTTAGGTCTAGGTGAAAAGATGCTCTTTTTCAGGTTACACAAATACACTGTGAATTGGTTTTGTTTTGTTTTCTGGTATTTCATTTATATGATGCAAGGGCTTACACACAAAAAAATTATAATGGTCCTGCTATTTAATCTCTATGATTTGAACTGATAAAAAGCGCTCACATATGAATGTTGCAAGAACCAATGTGCTAAAGCCTTAACATTCTTTCCTGCTTGTACATCATTCACATTCAGTTTTCAGGCTTTCTCAGATCTTGACTTTGCAAATGACTTTCCAAATATTTTATGTGAATCATTATCAGTCATTACATAAATCCCATTCAAGCCTCTCTAAGATAGAAGGAAACAACAGAAATAGTGGAATCTTGAAGCTGAATTGTTGTTTTAGAGCAAGGGATAGGATGCTGCAAAGTTTCTGCTGAGGAAAGACAAAATACAGGCGTGGGTTTCATTACAAGTCAATCAGATAAATTTCTATGAAGACAGCTTTAAGAAAGCTGACATTTAACTGTTTACATCCTTATTTTTATGTATGGCAAAGGAAGAGAAATTGATTATCAGGAAAATGTCACAAAGCAGGGAAAATAAATAATATCAGAAACAAAAAACAGCTGTTATCACTTTCATTTTTTCCTACCTTGATCTTAGCCAAGGGAACTTCCAGTGACCTCCCCACAGACATTGCTAGGAGCAAAGAAATCAGCAGAGTCCCTATGTTAAGGCAGTGCCGTACATGTTTTCAGACGAAGGCTCGTGGCTGGCTCTCACATGCACACTCTCTCACCAAGTACCTTTTTTCGCAGGTTCAGAGCTGGCTTCAAGAGAGCTTTCCGCTGGTGCCCCTTCATTGAGTTGTCCAGTCATGATGAACTAGAGCTCAAGGCTGCCAGGTTTCATCCCACCCGGCAAAGCAGTCTATATGCTGTGTCCAGAATGGAGTCCAGCACAACAGTAGTGCTCGACACCAACGACGGAGACAACTCCCATCCCAGTCGCAAGAAAAAAGCAGCTCCAAGGAACCCAAGTTTCAATGGCTGTTCACGGAGGAATTCCAAGGCTGTCTCCACAGCCTCAAGTTTCGTCAGTTCACTGTACACAGCAGGAGATGATTATTCCTAAGCATTTCTTGGTGACACTTGTGTGACACTGGACATGCAAGACTCAACGCTCACTTACTATGGAACTACATGTTAATTCCACAGGAGAACAAAAATATTTTCAACTGTCAAACCTCAGCTATAGATATCATGAAACTGTTAATACCACCTTATTTTGTGCTTTGGAGAGAAAGAGGAATTTGCAGACATACTTATTCGTTAGTCCAAAAGCATGGTTACACCTCATATACAGCACTGTTTGTAAGGATTGCCTAAAACAACTTAAAGGCACAAAACCCATTGTTTCGGCTTCTGACCTGTGACATTTACTGAAGTGTAACAAGTTCCTTCATTCAATGAACTTCAGGTGGTCTTCTGTCTTGAGTGCATTAATTTGACAATAACAAAGCTATCTAAGATCTGAAATATTTCTTTACAATAAAGATGTAATGAGACACAAATCTACTCAGTTGTTTTATTTTTTAATTTTATCCCCATGCAAGTAGACAAGATGAAGTTCATCTCTATCTGTAACAAGAAATTTAGGAATTTAGGGAATGACTGACAACAACTGTTGCAAAGAAAGCTGATCCTAACTCAAAGATGACCAGAGTGCAGTCTCAGTTTTACCTAAATGGCAGTGGGTTTGGTTGCATTAATGGCTGAATCAGTTGCATAGATCAACTGGTTGTGCAAACACTGGCCCCCAAGTAGTTAATCAAAACTTAATGAAAACACTGTGAATGTCTTCCTGAGTCACAGGCAGCATGGTGGGAGTTTACACGTGGCTGAGACCAACACAGTATAAATGCTGAGCAAATACAAAGAACTTTTAAGAATGCAAGGCTTGAGCTTCAACCCACATATATATGCTTTTCCAGCAATTGGAGATGCCCACCATCACTGTGGTGAGCAGAGATAGCAACTAATAATTAGAATCACATCTGTATTGTGATTCACCCACACCATGCAATTGTTACACTCCATCTTTTCTAACTGCGTCTATTACAAAACCAGCGTTGATAAAAATCAATATATGAATGTAAGTTCAAATGATATGACTGTATTGAGCTTACTTCACGTACAAAACATCACACCTAAATTTTATGATCCTTGACTAATGAATAATTAGGAAGAAATGACAGCTTTCTCACTTCTTTTTTCTCCGCCCCCCTTTTCTTTTTAATGAAGTAACAGAGAAACAGCTTCTTCAAGTGCTTTAGGATGTGACCTACAGACAACTAATTTACTGATAATCTCCTTATACATGGATGGCCATATCCAAGAACGTCCTCAGCATTCCTGTGGATCCTGTAGTGAAAGAATACTGTGGTACTCAACAAATGAAGAAACCCATGCTCATCAGCAGTTTTTTTGCTGTTTTTTTGACATTTGCATACAGTACTAATCCAGTTCCCAGCCTCTATCTCAAAAAGCATGAAACATTACAGAGTTAAACCAGTAGGACAGCAAAAACTGTGACTGACAGCAGAGTAGACTGCATTTTAACAACCATTTCTGAGAAAATATTTTCAGCAAATGTCCTGCTCCCTATAACGTTCATTATAGGCCTCCCAATACCCTTCACTAACAGTAGAGTCGTCAGATCATTTTAAGGTTGTGTCAATAATATTGCTCAAAATAGAAGCCTGCATGCAGTGCATGCCTCTCCATGCGGCTGCTGATACAGTTTCTCCTCTGTGCTCCAGGCTTCAATTCTCATTCTTTACTTCTGCTGAGAGGTAAACCAGCAGATACAGAGCTAGCTTCCTCCTGGAAGGGGCATAATAGTACTATAAAGGCAGCTAAAATTCAACAGCAACACGAAAGATTTTCTGATCTTCAATTTGTTCTAAGACATGAGTACTCATGCAAACAGCTCCTAGTATTTCAGCCCAGGCTTCTTTCAGAGTCTGCCTCTTAAAATGTTTATCTGACATTTAACTCTTCGATCTCCAGAGACAGTATCTTCCACATCAGTTTTCTCTGCCATTCCTTTGACGCTGACTATGCTTTCATTTAAAAAAAAAAGCAATGTGATTTAAAAACAAACAAACAAACCAAACCAAACAACGAAACAAAAAACAAACAAAAAACAAACAAAAAACAAACAAAAAACAAACAAACCACAACCCTAAGCACAACTGACTTTAAACACAGAGCTGGAGAATTCTTTTCACCATTTGAGTTGGAAAGGACCTTGAAGGCCATCTGGGCCAACCCACTGCACTGAACAGGGACACCTACAGCTCCATCAGGTGCTCAGAGCCCCTCCAGCCAGACCTTGGCTGTCTCCTGGGCATCCACCAGCTCTATGGGCAACCTGCGCCAGTGCCTCATCACCCTTAGTGTAAAACACTTCTTCTTCATGTGCAGTCTAAATCTCTCCTCTTAGTTTGAAACCATTTCCCCTTGTCCTACCACAACAGATCCTGCTGTCTGTCCCCTTTCTTCTTACAGCTCCCCTTTAGATATTGAAAGGCTGCTCTCAAGTCTCCCCTGATATTTATCACATCTTTGCCACGAGTCCTCCACATAAAAGCACGATGTTGAGACAAAAACTGAACTCAAAGAATGCTCAGGCTACTTATGTAGGATGTCTTTGGCAGATTGCAGCATGCAGCTATTTGGCCAGATTTCTTCAACAGCTGCCCTCTCAATCCACTTAAGTTTTATTGAAATATTTGGCTGAATTGGTAGAGAAGAACATGAGCTGTTCATGGCACATGTATATCTCCTAACTTTGTCCGTTGAGAAAATTCACTAACCACTGCTAGTGCACATTTTCCAAAAATAATGTACAAGAAGATCTTGCACAAAGAAAAGCAAAACTCAGGCTTTAGATGCCATCTTTTTTTAGTACAGATAAAAACATTTGGGTATGTTTTGCACACGGGTATTTCTTTTTTAATAGAAGTGAGTTTCTGTGGCAATGGTAAACAATCTGCTTACAAGTCGATTGAGTTCCTGGCATTAACTAGCTCATATAGTTCAATAAGGCTCTTCCTGTTCTTGAGACAATTGAAACGGTTCTGTTTTCATTATTCAAAATGATCTGTTGAGTCCTTGAAGGACAATTCTTTATCAGTCCATGAGCAGTTGCGCTAAGTACTTAAATTCATACTGCTTCAGATGGCTACTTATATAACATGGTGTACTGTTACTGCCTCATTGAACTGCTCTTTATTCCACATGTCAACACCTCTCCTTGCTATAACACTGAAATGTACCCACTGAATCACAGCTAGAATCAGATTTCCCAAAGCAAATCATTACATTTAAAAATACCACGCTTGCCCATTATAAGCACTCAGTAACATTGCCTATAGAATCACTATTTCCAAGAGTTTCCCAGCTGTATATTCTTCACTGCAATATTTCTGATGCAAACATGCAGGGGCAGCAACATCGGTCACATTAATTGTATTTGTAAAACTCATTCATTTTGAAAATTCGTATCCCTTGTTTACACCTATGTGCTTAAGAATATTTAAAAAAACAACCCATGACTGATTTAATCAGTAAGCATTCAGTAAGTGAACATTGCAAATCAATGTTACAATTGAAATACTCAGCAGCTTTTCTACAATATTGCTCACAAACTCATACGCAAGTTAAATTAATAATTGGTCCATGTCTGTAGATACAATACACATAAAACTTTCAGGCAAGCTTCTTTTCCCATGGAAGGGAAATTTCCTGAGGAGCATCATGCAGAGGTTCTGTGATATGAGGTCTGACAAGCCAAAGGAATGGAAAGGTTCCAGTGTCAAAGCACTTTACAGAGCAGCCCAAAGAGCAGCTCTGTTCCGTTTGCAGTACTGAAACCCACCCCTTGGATGCTAACTGCAAACAAACTGCAACTAGAAAAATATAAGGATCAAAGGCATTGCATCTCCTTGACCTGATCATTGCATCTCTACTCAGTAGAGCTTTACAGTAGATGAAGGAAGCTTTGTGTTATAAAATATGTCTAACATGTTCACTTTCTGTTTGAGTCTGGAACCAGAAGAGACAGAAAGCCAAGCAGTTTGTCCCTGGATCCAACACTACTAGTAGGCTGCCAGGATTTCAATCTTCCTCAAACCAGTAGGATCTAAAAACATTTCACAGTAAGCAGCAGATTGCTTAGGTACAAAAAAAAGCACAGACATGCCAGTGTAGGGCTCTGCAATGGCTAAAATTTACCTTGAAATTACCAAGCTATCAAATAATCACAGGAAAACAAAATTACCATACTATTTCCAATATTCAGAATCACACGCATATGCACAGAGTTCATGTAGCTAAGTCCACGTTACAAAGCATTTATTATCCTAGTGTATAAGGAAAAAAAGTCAGTTCTACCACCTGCCATGCTCTCAAACATTTCCAATTCCACTTCTCTAGTGCCATTTTAGCAAATCTCTTTCAAAAAATGCTCATCACACACTTCTTACACGAAACACTTCCTCTTTGTCTGCCTCCAGATCACCCTGAGCCCAAGGAGGTTCACACAAAGAGGATCACTGCAGCATGATCTGCAAGTGAATGGGACGTACCAAAAACAACAAATGAAACCTTGAAATCGCGCTTTTCAAACACAATCGAATATCTTCTCCTTGGCTGAACAACTCGAACAATCAGGGAAAGCCAAATTACTGTGAACTTCTGTCACATAAAGGAGACATATTTCTTCTCACAGTAAGCTTTTGTAACTCTTTTTTTCTACTAGATTCTTTGGTTCCTCAGTGGTTTCTGCATATTAACCTAAGATCCCAGCTCCCATTCCCTTCATTTTGCCTGCTCGTGAGACACAAATAGCAGGCACTGAGTGGGCTGCCTCTTCTTTGAGGTAACCTCTGCTTACTTAACATAACCCAGCTTCTCTGTGTTTCTCATGTTAGCGTGATCAGAGCACTCTGCCTTTTGGCAACTTCGGAGGGTCTCCAGAGACAGCAGACATTCCCCAGTCACAAATGAGGTCAGCCCTCATAACATCTGTTTGGTGCCACTGGTCAAATAGCCTCTTTTAGCACTTCC